TCAGGAACTGTAGAACTATTGTGGATGCAAGCAGAATTGTTATTAACATTTCCAATTTTTGAAGTTGAGGCTAATTTCATAGAGACGCGCGCGTAATATTAACATTCTTGTTGTTGTTCGTCAATGTTAAATAAAGATAAAATCACCATAAGTTTATTTTTCATCTCAGAACAGAACTTCTTACATATTTTATTTATTTTCTTTAATGTGAAAAAAATACTTAATAATGTTTCTGCTATGTGTCTATAGTCGGAAGTCTTACTGTAATTCTATTCATAAGAGTTTTTGTAAGTTTTATTCTCTAAATTCTTTAAAATTGAGCCAGTCTTGAAAACTGACTCAATTTTCAATCTTAAAAGTGAAGTTTTACTTTTTAGAGGAATAATTCATTCTTAGAAAGTACAAAAACAGGTGATGAGCCTTATGATTCTGCTCAGAATAATTGAGTTGGCCAATCAGTGTACAAGTTGATTATCGATCAACTTCACTGATAAGATTTAGAACGGGTGCATTCCAAAACTTGATCCGAGTATCTTTTATCTTTGTTCATCATTCAATGAGCAACAAAAATAAAACATACTTAGAGTTGAGAGTCAAGTTTTGGAACACACCCCAGTACTATCAGCTATCAACTCAGTATAAATCATCATTCATCGAAAACAATTTCTCAGAAATATAAAAAATAAATAAGTATTATCATTTTTTATATTTAGTAAAATATTTTTTTATTTGCAACATGGCAAACCAAAATGACACTTTAAATTGCAGTCAGTGTATATCAAAACAGAAAAAGAAGTTCACGAGTTGATTCTAATAAAATGTCTTTTAACCCCTTCGTCGACAAAGTTGACATAAAAACTTATTAGCAGTATACAATCTTCAATTCCATATTTTTTTATCATAATTGTAAATAAAAAAATCTATATATTAAAATTTTTGTCGAAGCGTGCCGAGCCTCGTGTTTACATGCGCGCCCAAGTTAGGTTAGGTTAGGGTTAGGTTAGGTTTATTATTCCAGCAAAAGAATGTGCATTCGAGCCCAAAACACAATGCGAGACGATAGCGATAGAAATGATAACGATAACGATAGAAACAGAAGAATCCCACATTCGGGAATGCATATATCAATGACTACAGCGATACATTATCGTTGGAATACAATACTATTTTTATGGCTGTTCTTGTTGCTGTTCCCTCGCATTGTGTTCAAGGCTTTAAGGTTAAAGTAATTAGTACAGTGTTGTGGGAAATGTCGAGACTTACGCGAAGTATTACTGATGGTCTTCCAGATAGTTGCATTTAATGCAATCCGTCGACGGATGTATCGTCGGACCGGATGACCTCGCCGGAACGATGCCGTCGGTCTGTCAATTTCGCGAGAATTTCAGCCTTATTTTTCACGTTCTTCGTGCAACCTACGAGAAATCACAACTGTATCACACCGTTTTCTCACGTAGAGAAACCTCAACCCCTTGACGTACTCGAGCACGTGTCGCGCGTGAGCTACCTTGTCAGCGTCGTGCATCGTCGAATTCCTCTTCTTCCTCTCCTTCTTAACGTGAAGATTTATTCCTTCGGATAACGATTCGGCAGCAGGAGCACAATTAATGAATCATCTAGCCCCTAGCAAGCATACGAACACGAGCTTCGCCGCTATCGCGTGCTCGCACAATATCACAATTATCACACGATATTTCATTCCACATCCCTCGAGCCCCTCGTCCAGCGAATGAGTCCACGCATGCGCGAATTCTATGGTCCGGTTTACATCGTGAAAGAATTGGTACGCGTTAAATTTGATGCGCACTAATGGGTGCGTTTACATCGAACGTAACTTAAAAGCATTTAGATTGGATTATACTGGCCGTAATCTGTAAAAATTGACCAATCACAGTCGAATCAGAGGGGAATAATCGATCATAATTGGTCAATTTTTACAGATTACGGTATAAGTTAACAGATTGGCCTAGTTTACATCGTGCAATTGATACGAGTACTAACCAGTAACTTTCTATTGAATTATCTTAATTTCAGCATTATGTGTAAACATATGCATGATATGTGTATTTAATTAATTATTTTGATGCATATTTCACTAATTTAATACATTATTCTTTGAATATATTGCTGAAATTAAGATTATTTAATAGAAAATTACTAGTTAATACGCGTATCAAGTGCTCGGTGTAAAAGGGGTCAATTACTTCTACGATGTAGAGGAGAAAAATATTAATACGATTAACATTGATTTTGAGGTTACTGCGTTCCGTTACACGCTTAATGCCGGTTCTACATTAGTTGCAAGCCGATCGCAAGTTTGTTGCGACAGCCAATCTGAAGCGTTGATTTCCTAATGCAAGCTTGAGATTGGCTGTCGCAACAAACTTGCGATCGACTTGCAACTAATGTAGAACCAGCTTAAGGGGTGACTGTTACCAACGCCGATTAAACGCCGATTAACTTAATCGACGATTAGTCCATTGGAATTGACTAATTGCGTCTGTCGTCAAAACTAAAGGATAAATGCGATTAGTCAATTCCAATGTACTAATCGTCGATTAAGTTAATCGGCGTTGGTAACAGTCGCCCTAAAGGCCTCTGTACACGGTCAGTAATACTGTCAGTATCAACGTATACTGACAATATTATTGATTGTGTGTGGTTAATATTAATGGATTGACGTAGAATACCGACAATGATTTGGATTTAAATACATGCTTTTTCCTTAAGATCCATGTCGCCATAGATAATAATATACGTCAAATCACGTCAAACTGAAGTAAAATATTGTTAATAATACCTGATCGTATAAAGCGGGGAGCACAGACTTTTGCATAACGCATAAACCATATACATAAAGAATTTGATTGGTCCATTGACTCATGCATAAGAAAATGGACCAATGAAATTCCTTATGCACATGCTTTATGCGTTATGCAAAAGTCTGTGCTCCCCGCTTAATACTGACTCAGCATTACTGACCGTGTAGGGAGGCCTTAATGCGCATGGGGTGACGTGATGGGTTAGGGTCTGCGCACAATGGAGGAACAGATATTAGATATTAAAATATTAACCTATCAGAATCGTGTATTTCGGTGTAACTGGTATCTGGATAGGTTAATATTTTAATATCTAATATCTGTTCCTCCATTGTGCGCAGACCCTTATGCATGCAACGGAACGCCTTGATTCCCTCCAAAATGTGTTTTACACGTTTACATCGGGCGCGTTCAGCGGACTCAACAGTTGAGTGAGCGCTCGCTGTTATTGGTGTATTCTTCTAGATCTAAATTTCTGATTGGATGATCAAATTCAAATGATGTAAATCGCATTTACAATTTTTAGTCCGCCCTTCATAAAATCTCCGTGAGACCATCTTTTCAAGTAGCGATTTGAAAAGTAGAGGTTTTTAATTAAAAAGACTGTAAAATACTTTTTTAAACATCTCGATACGACGATTTTTGACGAAGTTATTCTATCTTGTAAGCTTGCCTATTTTTGCAGAGTGAAACGGGTGTTGCGTTAATTTTGTTGGCCAGTGTATTATCGAAATATTCCGATAATGTCATTGTTTTTTAATCATGTTTTCCGAAGTTTTATCCAATTCTGTTACTGTTTTTTTTTTCCTTGTCCTTCATGACGTGTCGATTTTCTGTTTCAGTGGAAGAAAAAGACCGAGAAGCATCGGGCTGCGATAAAATTCAAAGCTGCCGCTCGGATCGCCCGCGTAACGCATGATCTGTCCACGAGTGTGAAGTCAACCGGCGGCATTTCAGAAACGATCAACGAAACTGATGAAAACGCGGAGTGAACTTTGAGCATTACGGCAGAAGCTAGTATTTGTAATTATACCTTGTAATTTCACCTCGTGAAAAAAAAAAAAAAAACGATATTAGTCTCTTTAGCGTTGGATCAGTTTTGTTGCTGAACTAGTATATGTTGTAGAACTTAACGTGAGATATTAAACATTTTAATATCGTATTTGGCGAAAACGAGAAAGAGTTCTAGTGCAGTCTAATACAGAAATAAAAAACAGACCAATTATAAGTAGGGTTGGGGACATGTATTTAAAATACTTTTACTTGAAAAACAGTATTTGTAAAACAATTGTATTTTGCAGTTCAACGGAACACATAAAAGTATTATATATGTAATTTATATTTAAAATCAAATTTTGAATTTTTTTTGTACTTTGTAATTCAAAGAATAACCGTCTGTACTATCAATACTGAAATACTTTTGTGTTCCTTTAAAATACAATTGTTTCACAAATACTATTTTTCAACTAAAAGTATTTAAAATACACGTTTAGCTCTGGTTAATAAGATCAATGTAGTCGCGAGATAATCGGTCGAGTTACTCGTTTAGGAAAAGGCAATCGCAAGCGGTACAAAGAGAGAGAAAGAGAAAGCCTATGGCTACAGAATTTATATTACATTTATTTATGTCTTTTCCTTCGTGTAACTTTTCTTACAATCTCCCATGCCTGCTTTCTCACTCTCAATGTCTTTCCAATCGAATAGTAAACTGTGGCACGGGACGAGCTCTATCTCGTCTTCCCCCCTGAGGATGTCGTCACTCACCGAGGGGGTTCATCGGATGAGTCTCGCGAGGACCGAGAGCTCCGCTTTTTCTAAATTACATCCTCCGGCCATGCTCGGCCCTGCGCGACGGGATTATCGAGTTTGTCGCTTTTGAAAGCGTCCCGTATGTACGAATTGCAGATTTTCTTCCTGTCGGTCGAGACGAAAGGTTCGCTGAGCCGCTGAGCATAACGCGGAATCGCTCGCGACAAACAAGTTTCGAAACGAAACTTGATCAAGTCGTTTTCGTCTCGGCGAAATTGGGATAAAAGGTACGGATCGCCGCTGAATGCGTTCGCTGGTGGAAAATTAGCTACCTATAGTTCCTAAAATTCCTTCCTATATTTTCCACAAAGAACCCATATTGCAGGAGAGGCGCTTGTTTTATTCGAAAGCAATTGTGGAAATTTGTCTTCGTTAATTAACTTCAGCAATATAATCGTGGTTTGCAATATTATATTTCTGTCAGTTGAGTAAAAGTAAAACCGCGGGATGATTTTATCGCGATAATATTGCAGATGGTAAATTGATTTATTGCCGAGAATTATAGATTGATCGTGTTCTCAGCAGAATATTTATATTTTACAACGGTTGGAAATTTTCTCCGTCGAGATAGGACTATTCCTTTAGATGTAGAAATATAATTCAATCAACGCGCGAAGAAAACTTCCAACAGTTGCAAGAAAAGTATTCCACTAAACTAATGAATTATATAGAATTATACAGAATTAGTTCAAGATGCGCTCTAGCAATCGTGCGTTTTATCCTAATTTCACGCGACGCGTTTGCTATCGGATTTTGAAAATCACGTCTTGAAAGCTCGGACCGCTTCATGCGGGCTTGAATCGTGTACATTGTGTCTCGTGGACGCAAAGGCTCTCATTTAGAAACAGGAATCGATCTCGAATCACGCCAAGATGCGTTGATTCTTATCGATAACCGATGAACAGACCTTGAATTCAACTACAGCACAGATTTCGGCGCCGTTGATGATACATCGCGTACGAATGTAGTGCTAATAATATGACGAACACGTACAGTTCGAATTAAATGGCTTATTTGCTTTTCTGTAGTTTTCTTGTTGATTGGTAACTAATAATTTTATAAAGTGTACGTCTGATTGTATTTATAAAATGCTGCACATGCGATACTGTTAACAATACTCGAATTGAAGTCGATGTGTAATTTTCGTGTCGAATGTACGCGTTTTTGTTTTTGCTTATCTCCATTTGAACGAACGACTGGAGCTTACTCGAAAATGCTGATTATCCGCGATAGGCTTATTTAAATTATTCTGCAGTCGGGCTATTTTGTTTGGTATCTTGTTAAATCTTCCTTTTCTTATTTCTTGTCAAATATTGGGACTTCTTCAAAAATATGCTATAGCGATCTTGATAACATAGTGCCTTGTTGTTGGACTCTTATTGCAGTTCACCGCCCTTTTGTGTTTGCTGTTGCTGTTGATCTCGTTGTTGCTGCGCTTGTAATGTATCCTTAATATGTTTCTCAACCTGTGGAAGATAAATGTATAAATAAAAAATAGACAACGTAAATGCAATAAAGAGATAAATTATGAACAATCATATATATCTCTTATTCAATATATTTATTTTCTATGTACATTTTTACATTACATTTAGCAAGAAAACTGCAAAAAAACAAGATGCTGATTTAATTTAAATTTTTTAATTTCTTTACAAAAACGTTTTGACTTAAAGATTCATTCTTGACTTGTTATTGAACACATGCCTTGAATTTGTATTCTGTAGATGAAGTACTTATCGATAGAAAGATGAATTTAAAACAGCTAATAAATTAATAAAACATGTATGCTCATGTATGGCATGTATAATCCTGCTCATTTAAATATTTCATTGGTACATACCACTTTTTTTACATGTCTATATGCACCAGATTCTGTGTTTCCATGAACATTGTCCACTTTGTACGGTGGTCTAATAGTGACATTATTAAATACAACGATATTAGCTCCATTCCACGTAATATCTTGAATAGTTTTTGCAATAGCAATAAAAAGCTTCTGTCCCTCTGGAGATACTCCGGCCTGCAGAGCCATTACTAGTCTCCTCTTCTCATCGATCTGATTACGGACTCTTGTGTTTAGCCTTTGTAAATTAAGGCTCTGTGGTGGTTCACTGGTAGTAGGACTAACTTCTCGCGTCACTTGAACGTTGGACACAAGAGATAAATTTACTATATGTATATCATTTAATGAGGGTCTCCCACTCGACGATGGAGATTCTAACAGTTATTATTAAGGAAAATTGTTCTTTCAGACACGCAAATGTTGATATTCATAATCAGATCTTGATAAATTTAGATAATCTATTTATGGCAAAATATCTAGTAACGCAGCAAAAATTTTTACATTCTAAATTAATTCCATAAATGTAATCGTAACTTCAACAAATCTTACAGATTTGAGAATTTCTGTTTGTCAATAGAAGGTTGCTTCAATATACTTTAAGATATTCAATGTCTTTAGCCTCAACAGTGATTAGTAGTGTCTTATATATATATATATATCTCACTGATAGTCGATCAAAAAACGTACAAAGATAATCATCAGTGTACCAGCGAGCGAGATCGACGACGACGAGCGTATGGTCACGTGTTCTCGAGATCGGTCCAACACTGAGAAATTCGGGGATAGCACGTCGACGAAGGAATGTGAAATGCGGTCACACGGATGACAACAAGACGTACATGCATGATGAAGACGGGCGCGTGGATAGGCAGGCAGATAAACCAGCATGGTTGACGGTTATAGGATGAAACTAACCTGAATCGCGCGACCGAGATGCCACGTACTTCCCAGACGAGTCGTAAGGCTTGGACGAATTCGCGTCGTCGAATTCGCGGTACAGAGCGACGAAGGAATCTCGAGCTGATAACGCGGTGCAAATCGCCGTAGTAGCGACGCGACGCTATTTACACTGCGTCCCCGCGCGGCGGAAACGCACGCGGGCGACCACCGTTGCCGTTGTCACTGTTGCCGTCGTTAGCCGGCGCTGTTTTGGCGTAAAAAGGATACTTAGTATCAGCATTTTGGTCTGTGGATCGAATGCCAACACCTCACCCTCTATTTCCTTCTCATGGCAGGTTTTACAGAGCACCGTGCTGCCGATGCTAAACCAGTCGCTGGCCCCGGCCATTTTTCACTGCCGACGAACCGATCGCGACGCGCCGCGCCGTCCCTCTCGCGGCTACGGATGTCGTATGTACACGTACGCCATCTTGCGAGCGACTTTTTCGACATTTTCAAGGTACTTTCCGGCGCCCTCGAGAGAGGACGCAATGTGCAATTTAGAACTTCGCGCTATTATGCCCATTTCCACTAATGCAGATTTGCTCTTCGTCTTTTTCTAATTCTAAAAAAATTAGAAAAAGATTAACAGTAAGTTAAACCAAGATTAAAGTTAATCTGCATTGGTGGATACAGGCATTAGTCAACTTTCTGTTAGTTTTGTACTACTTGCTATACCAACGCAAGTTCTGGTTGGCTACTGCTTTTCCGCTTTTCGCTTTTCCGTCTAGGTGTGAATTCGCCCTTAGTTATTAATGTTGTTATATAAATATTAGATATTTAAGGTGAATTAATCAAAGCGCGAATTTTCTATTGATGTAAAACCCTTCTTGGAATTTTAAACATTGTTAAAAATGCTCGTATTCATAGTCAGATATATCTTATTATACTTAAGGTTCCTTAAAAATTTATCTTTAGATGCACAGTAGCCAATAAAATAATTCGTAGAGCATCTGAAGATAAATTTAAGGAGCCTTAAATATATAATTAAGGCCTGATTATGAATATAGACATTATTCTTCCAACCATGTAATTCGATTATTATTTTTATCATTTGCACTTTCCAATTTACCAGAAAACGAACATACACGCGTAATTATAACTAGTTATGTGGATTGTGGCCTCAAGAAATCTCTCCACTAATTTTATGGCCATATGAGTCGAAATTTTTTTTTCTTCTTCTTTTTGGCCAGTCAAAAGTCGAAATTTTGTTTTTTTCCGGTTTCAACCATTCAAACTATAAATCTAAAACCTTTATAAACTAATGCCTGGTTTATGCTTCGGTCTTAAGGTCTTAATCCTAAAATTCAGCCAATAGAGTTCAAATTTCGGTTAGAACTGGCAGCTTTATTGATTGAATTTTAGGATCTTGGGATTAAGACCTGAAGCATAAACCAGGCATAATATGATCTACTCCGATGTCGTGGAGGAAAAGTGACATCTAGATCAAACTAATTTAGATCAATTCAGATACTCACTTTTGATCACGCTTTTTTAGGGCCTCGTTCATATTAGGTGTGAACTCGGCTTAATGATCTTTCTCTCTCTCTCTCTTTCTCTTTCTCTCTCTCAAACAAATTTCTGTCATCATGTGTGTGTGTATGCGTGTTTGCGCAAGCGTTGTACATGAGAGGAGTTTTGTGATTCGAACGCCGTCTACGAGTACCACCAGTACTAATTCAAAAACCTGATTTTGATCACACATTTGGATCTCCTGTCTCTATCTTCCATAGCGATTATTATCATTACTCGTCAGATAGTAGATTTTCTCCCCATATCTACTCTAATCATTACGCTATACTTGCCAATAAGGCTGCGAACGAATGTAAAATAGCTATTTATCTGTTACGGGCCCTGAATTATCTGTCTATAATAATTATATTATAAGTAAAATAAGCTAACAATTATATGTTCTTCTCAATATATTTAATATAAATCATTAAAGATACGACAGATGCTCACAGATAATTTTTCATTAAAAACATTTTGTTTAAAGAAATTGTTCGATTTGTCCGGATTTTGATGACGCACCCTGTATTTTCAAAGGTTGTATATTTTAAACTGATTTATCTATCAAATACTCGTTTCCACTAATGTAGATTAACTTTAATCTCGATTCAACTTGCTCTTTGTCTTTCTCTAGTTCTAAAAAAAGATGAACAGTAAATTAAACCGAGACAACACCTGTTTCACTCTGCAAAAGTAGGCAAATTTCAAGGTAGCATAACTTCGTCAAAAAACATCGTATCGAGATGTTTAAAAAAGCATTTTATAGCTTGAAACCTCTACTTTTCCGATCGCTACTTTAAAAAACGGTCTCACGGAGATTTTATGAAGTTACACAAACGTAAATAAAGATACATCAGATTTTAAATTTTTTTACGAAATTGGCGGAGTTCCACGGAGCGGACTAAAAATTGTACACAAATGTGATTTACATTATTCGAAAGAGCGAATCTTTTCCTTTAATTTGTTTTTTTTTTTTTACGAAGCTTCATACGATTTTTTTTACCGAGTCATTCAATGTTGAAGCAAAAATAGCCTAATATAAAACATGTGACAGGATTTTTCCTGAGTGATCAAAAACTTGTCACATATCTTTATAGGTAAAAAATAAATAAAATTGCTTGCAAGTTGGAAAAGATGCATTCTGTGCATTTGATTTTTTTTAGTGCGCATTGAATTTTAATAATAAAATTTTGTAAACGAATGATTTTTTGTAACAATTGTACTTCATTGTGTTGTGCTGCATGAAAAATTGACGTTATAATTTGACAAATAATATAAACGTTGCGGAATTATTAAACATCACTTGATCCTTCGTATCATTTTTTATTTATAATTTATTTATGTAATTTGCATTGTCTCTGAAGAAGGCTCAAAAATGAGCCGAAACATGTAAGCGCAATTAGTATAATAAATAAGTTTTGTTTGATATACTCGTATATATATCAGCGTTTGCGTAAAGTTATCTGTGCTTAACTCCTAGTGCCGAGGGGGTAACCACTATCTGAAATATTGTCCCACAGATTACATGATTTCATTTAATTTTATATAATTTTATTTGATGATAAATAATTTTTCCTCACAATATATGCGGTCATTTGGTCAAATAAACGATTTTATCTAATATTACACAATTGTTTCTTGTAATTGTCGGATTATATATCGAAATTTTATATAAATTTTATAATGATTTCAGGGACTCCGTCCCACGATTACATTAAGTGATTACCCCCTCACTTAGTGCCCTTTTCTTTCCAAGTTTATATTTGTGGTATTACCTTGTTTTAAATACAAAACTTTAAAAATCTAATTTATAGATTATTTTTGATTGAATTCATTTTAGGCCGGAATCAGACTACGCATTGAAAATTGAGATTAAAGATTGAAAGATTGAAATTTGACCAATGAGAATAAAGGAATTTTACCTTTTATTATTTTGATTGGCCAAATTTCAATCTTTCAATCTCAACTGTCAATGCATATAGTCTGATCTAACGTTACCATGACCTATATATCGTTCTGTTCTGGTGTGCGCGACCAGCGCGGCTGCGCCGCCGCCGCATCGGCTGCCGGCAGTTTTCGGGGATCTTCGATCGTACTCGAATTAGGTCGGAGTTAGTCCGTTGGCGCTCTGCTTGGTGGACGGTTCATTCGATCTCGCGGCGCGCTCTGGGGATTGATTCTGTATTTTGAAATAGTGCAAAATTTACTGGGTATATAAAATTACAAAATTTATCGGGTGTAACTTAGTGAAGTGAGTGTCCTTTTTGCCGTCACCTTTTTTCGCGCGAATTGTGTTGGATAGCGAATGACACGTGACACAGTCCCGACGGAGCGATTGGTATTACTTAGTGAAGTGAGTGTACGTTTTGCCGCCTTTTTTTTACGCGAACTGTGTTGGACGGCGAGTGACGTGACAGGGTCCCGACGGAGCGATTAGTATTTGATCAGAAGTTAATAAGGTATTGCCCGTTCTTTCTTTTAATAAATGAAAATCTCGCACGGAATGCCAGAGATCCGGGTTCAACTCCCGGAAGTAATATTTTTTCGCAGTGAAAATTAATTATTTACAATTTTTAATAGGTCATTCCACATAAAATCGATACAAGATGCATAAACAGCATCAACAATTGTTAAATTGTTAGTTAATTTAACTTGTGATATTATACTGCGGTAGTTTATTTAGAGTTGCGTTTCAAGACCGGCAATTGTTCGGCGCGCAGTTTAGAAAGACTTCTATACACATATTAGTATATAAATTCACGCAAAATTATATATAAGCAAGTAAGATCCAAGCTAGACGGCATTTATAGGCTTCGTATTCGTATTATTATATTATGTTGATTTTAGACCTATATTTTTCAGATTTTATCAGCTTTTTTTTCAGAAATTATAGAATGAAAATCTTAGAATATATTGGACATATACTTTTTCTTTTACGTATGTTAATTAATTGCTAGCACAAATATTGATACCCAAAAAGCTAGCAGCATTCAATGCATGTTTACTTGCTTCATTGTTTGCATTTTAGTAAATTATTAGAATTTATGTATTCTGAGTGTGCTATTCTAATAATTTCGTATAAAACGCGAGAAATCCAGCAAGGAGACATTATGTGCCACTAGTTTAAGAGTTCATATTTTGGTAAATATCTTTAAATAATTTACACTTTTCAGAAATATTGAGAAAATAATTTGCAAAATTTTGAATATTTTTTTCGATTTTTTCAGATTGACACATTAGGTTTATTTCTTTCAGCTGAATTTCCAATTGTACCATTTATATGAAAAGAACATATTCTTTTCAAATGAACGGTACACGAAATTCAGTTGAAAGAAAAACCTAATATGTGATATCTGAAAAAATCTGATGTTATCCGATCCTTTTTTTTATCTTTATTGTTGTTTTGACATCGAAAGCTTCGCTTTAATATTATTTATTTATTTATTACTTATCGTTAGTATCCATTTATAATTAGAATCCCTTAACTAGACAGATTTCTGTGTAAATAAACTAATGTTTTACATTAAAGAATGCACAGATTGATATTTCACCGCGACAGTGGCAACTGTCATCATTGACTCCCATCATGAATCCCATCACGCATAACGGCGATTTTAATTTAAGGCTGTCAACGACGCGGGATAGATCGATAGATAATAGGCCAAGCTTCTAAGGATTACACGCACATACAAGATAATAGTATAATGTACATGTATTTAAGCATAATACGGAAAGTATGTAATTCACATCTCGTCCGATTACCTCGTCTCGCGACTTCGGGCGGTCGACAGACTGAAGATTGAAGCCGTTATTTCAACCACGCTGATTTCTGTCATCGAG